AGGGTTTGCAACATCCTTGCTGGACTCGTGCATGACACCTCATGCCCATGGACTGTCAGAAGGGGGTCTGTATGCCTATTGTCCCACAAAATACGGTCTGGCCACTGCCAGAAACAGGCCACAGGCTGCATACTAATACTGCAAAACCTAACACAGAGGTTCACCAACCTTGCTTTGGTTGGGACTTGCCACGCGGGGAGCTTCACGTGAGCTCTGTAGCTGTAACAGCAACCGTCTAACAACCCGGGACCCTCACCCATCTGCCCTCAGGTTTTGCTTCGCCTGGTCCAAGAGGTGCCGAAAGCCCTCCAGCAGCACGGCTTGGCTGTATTTCTGCAGGGCAGCGAGAGCAGCCGCGGGCCCAGCAATCACTCCCCGAGCCGGGAGGAAAAACGCAGCCTGGGGTGCAGGCAGGGGAGGGCAGTGGGGCCGTGAAACCTCCCTGAAACCTCTGGCATGGGTGATACTGGCAGCCCCGGAGCTATGAAGCACTCCCCCGTGGGCAGCCGCTGCATCGGTGGAGGAACGTGACCTTGGGGCTGGGAAACACCGCTTGTGGGCAGCAGGGAGGGCGAGGAGCAGGTCTGCAAGGTGTGCCCAGCTCTGCCTGGAGGGTCAGTGCGGACGTACCCAGCTCTGGGCACCGAGGAGCACGGCGGGAGAGCCTTGGACGCAGGGTGGACACAGCCCCAGGTGGACTCTAGCAGAGGAGGAGGAGGAGGCAGAAGCCCCACTACCACCACCACCACCCTGGAGAGGCAGACGGAGGGTCCCCACCATCAGCATTGTGCTGCGGGGGGCAAAGGACTTGGTGGGTCTGTGATACCTGCAGCCCTCTCACCTTCTCCTGGGGGACAGCCGGCACCTCTGAATCCAGTGCCTGGGCGGTGGAGGGGTGAGCATAACCTGGGGAAATCTGCAGTGGCTAAAGTGCTGGGTGTATATTAGTTTTGACACTGGTATGTTAAGGGTTTTTTTCTTTTATCCCCTTTCACTCTAATATTCTAGATAATGGCATTTATCATTGTTAGCATCGTTGTAAGTGGATTGATGAGGACTCTTTGAGCAGACTGTTAAAGCTTTTAAGTACACTAACAATAAATTGTACGTCTTCTCATACAAGTCGTGTTTCTCTAGCCAACATAAATTGCACAAGCTGTGGGAAAGAAACCCTGACTTCTGTGAGGGCAATACTTGCTAAGCTGGAATAATGACAAAGACGAGCATCCAACAGTAACCTCAGAAAACCGCGTCTGGTCGACTGCCACCCTTTGTTGTGCTCAGAAGACTGAGCAGCAGAGAAACAGGCTCTGCTGAGGTGAACGCTGTGCTTGCAGAGCGGATAGAGGGTATATATTCTCTCAGAGATGCTATGCAAAAGACAGATAACGGGGTGCGAGCTGTACACATCTGTTACGTACACAAGGCTACAGGAGCACTCACGGCCAGTCTGGATTCTGCTTTCTTCAGCGCAGGAGCTAGTTTATCACAAAGGTTACATAGTGATAACTGTTTGAGGAGACAAGGTGAAGGTTCAGTCAAGAGGCCTACGTAACACCCTAGCATTTCTACTGCCACAGTCCTCCAGAGGTTGTTCATTATGTGCAGGGAGACTGCCCATCACACGGGAACAGAGAGCTGCTATCAGCTACGATGGTGAGGGGAGCGGTCCTTCCACCCGGGGCTTGTTTCATCGAGACCACGGGTGATGCAGGCTTCACACCATAAGACTCAGCCACTGCATTACATATCCAATACTCACATGCGTAAGTACCTTTTAATAACACACCTGTGAGCAAACTCCGTCCCTGCTGCTGATGCCACCAGGCGTCAGGAGAGTCACCCCGGGGGCCGGAGCATTGCGTGGTGCAGCCAGCACAGCACCGTGAACCACCCCCTACCAGCCACGCTCAGACTGTTCCTATTTTGCCTGCCAAGAAAGGGATTTGAAAAGACTTGCTTTACCTTGGCGAGTGACTTTTACACACCTTCTCATTCAGGGTCCCACACGCAGTTTTCATCAGCTCCACATCAGTGGAGTTTCATCACAGGTTAATGTCCTGGGGGGGGGATGGAGAGGTGACCTACCAGCCAAGGCCAGGTACACTCCTTATGGAGACAGGAGACTACAGTTTGGGGGAAGGGGAGGACTTGGGGGATGGAGGAGATTTTAATAGAAAACATTACAAAAACAAGAAGAAGTTACCCTTTTCACAGGAACAACTCCAAACACCGCTGTACCAGGACAAGGCACCAAAACCAGCAAGGTCAGTATTTACAAAAACGGCTAGTTTGCGAACAGCAAAACCTGATTTTCAGAGCACGCGGGTACCCATACTCGCTGCAGCCCTGCAGACCCGACCCTCGATTCCCCCCGTTGAGCACTGAAACAGCAGCACTTACTGCGCGCGGCTGCGTGGGTGCCAGCGGGGATGAGCCCAGCGATCCTGGCACAGCCACAGCGCTGGCGCGTGTGTACAGGACCCACAATGATTCCCCATCCTCCTTCAAGGCTGCACATAAACCATCCCTCAGACAATGATCTCCTGACAACACTGCACAGTCTTTATTTCTCTTTAAGGGGGTGTTAAAGTCCCCTTAATGCGCACCCTAACTACAGCAGTCATCAATTTGTGTTGATACTTTCTTTTATCATCCAAATTCCTCTGCTTGCTGGGTTGCCTTCCTGGCCTTGGGATTAGACTTTCTGGCATATTTTAAAAGCACCAAGTATATCACACCCCTGCACACCTGACCCATAAAACATTAACACTCTTCCTTTCTTCTTGCTCATTATCTCAGATGGCCTTTGACTAAAAAATCTGGAGCCGTGTTTTTCAAAACTTTCAAATCCTGGCTTTAGCTCAACCTAATATCAGGTACAAACCATGAAACTGGCAATTACTTCTGAAATTTGCTGAAGTATGCGTGCATTTGAAATAAAGGTTTTGAGTCAAAGCTTTCAGAAGTTGAAGTATCTATTAAAAGAATGGTACAATTACAATATTGTCTGTTAGGTCTGACATATAAACCATTTCAGTACTTTCTGCCTAATTACAGTGAACCAATGAAAGCGTGTCTAAAAGCAGGCAAGGAAAAGAAAAAAGATTATTTACATGCAATGGTGTTTGTTTCTTTTCTTCTTTTCTTTGGCAAAAATGATAGAGAAAAACATTGGGCGTGAGCCTCAGCCTTTGCCTTCATCTTGTTGTTTTTTTCCTTTTGATGTCCGAATAAAAAGGGAGTAAGAAAAGATGACTTCAACAGAAATAAACGCTGCAAGATTTACAGCGCAGCTTCTGTGTCGATTGTTCCCCAGCATCTTCTGAGCCTACTAAAGCACTCTGAGATAATCAAGTGAAAAGCATTGTAGAAATGTGTTCCTTTAATAAAAATCCTTTGTGCAGTTTACAGATCCAAGCAAATGTGATGTGTCCAAGGGCATGCTGCCTTCATACAGGCAGGCCCCAGACTGGCATATTTTGCTAGTCACATCACAAAGTCATGTCTGAAATGTTCCCCACTACATCTCAGCTATTTCAGATGTTTCAAATCTCTCTCATAGGAAGCAACTTTTTCCCCCTCTAGGACATATATTTGCATTTTTCGAGGTAAAATGTCATCTTGTGATCTTATTCCCACGTTTCCAATCTGTAAATAGATGCATTCCTAGAACAGGGAGGAATGCAGGGAGGATAGATGTTAGCATAACGTAGGATAAAGGCAAAATAGGAACTGGTACACATCTGGATAAAGCCCTCAGGTAAGACTCCTACAACGTTCCGCTCCCTACAGAAGCAAGCAGTGGTATAAACCCCCAAGTGCAGGTAATTCCTTGCAGGAATGCTGTTAGTATTAAGAATCTTAACGACGAGAGTCTCAACAGTGGTTCTGTTCACTATATCACAATTCAATTAATCCAGTAAAAACATCAGTCTGGCTGGAAGAAGGATGACAACAACAAAAGCAGGGAAACTGTTGAGGCATTTCATAACTGTTGTTGCACTCTTTTGTTCCCTCTCCAATCTGATATTCCCTCTTTCCTCCCCCTATTTTGGGATATTTTTTGTGACTCCCTCAATGTACTTCAATTCTGGTAGAAAAGTCTACTTTTAGCCCACACCACAGATGTTTCAAAGGCAGTAAGTGACTCAAATTAGTCTTGTGATGGAAACTGTTGTAGCTTTATGTTGCCATGGCTTCTTTAGTTGACAAAATAATGCTTTTGACAGACAACTTCTAGGTCTTTCATAGTCCTCTTATTTTACACAGGATGGAGGTAACTTGAAGGACAAAAAGTGAAACAACCTTGTAGGAAAGGGGTTGTAGGAGAAGGCTGGTGGCAGAACTAGGCACGGACCCGAGGCATCTTCATTTCCAGGGCTGTACCAGCTGTCCCCCTTCTGACTACACTTGATGCAAGTAGGACTTCAACAAAATTTAGCCTGATGCTGGTAAACGCTGATTCATTCAAACAGTCTGTGAGGATGTGCTGGGTTCAATGAAGCTTGACTCAGATGTGTTGCTGTGGTCCTAAGCAGAATTTCTGGTTGGGGCGATGCTTATAGCAGCTCCCCCTCCCCACAGTGCAATGCTTATGGTCTGCAAAGGGGACCTCGTTTTATATCAGAACCGACCCACACACTTTGGGGCAAGGACTTCAATTCAGTGCTTATAAAGCTACAGTGAATGCACTGGCCACCAGCTATTAACTTCTGTTTGTTCCTCCTCTCCTCCTTTGAGAAAGGGGGAGGGGGGAACTAATCAGGCACCGATATTTAATACTGCAGTGCAGCCTTCTGCAGAGATAGAGAAACTGTCTAAATCAGTTCCTGTCAGATGTAGGCGTTAAGTCACGTTCACCCTCTGTGCAGGCTGTACATCCCAACTTCACCAGTCAGAAGCTGGCCACTGATCTTCCTCTATTCTCCCCAATAAAACATATTATTTAAAAAAAAAAAAGAAAGAAAGAAAAATAAGAAAAAAGGTGTCAGGAAAAAAAGGAATCAGTCAAAACATACCAGCTACTGCTTCCCTCTGCATTTGCATCTCAGCCTCATTATGTCACCTGAACAATAGGAATTCTCTTGGCGTATTTTAAGGCAGCAGCTTCCTTAGAAAGCTCCGAATCTGACATCCTCAGTGTGGAACCCTGGGGAAATAAAGTTGCTTTAGATTTCCTGTAAATACCTCTTCAACCAACATGAGACTAACAACGTCTGTCTGAAAGCTTGATGTTGCAATAAACCATGGTGAAGCATAGCTTTGGGAAGAACCTGACCCGAGGTTTATTTTGGAAGGAAACAAATACAAACTTGGGATCAGGCCTGAGAACTTGAAGTGACACAGATGTATTTTACTCCAAAGATTATAGTCAGATATTATATATCCTTCAAGTCAGTCACAAACTCTTATCCCCCCGCAATCCCATGGACCTCTGGTTCTGCCAGGAACACTGCAATACCTTAATCACAAATTACAACTGCAGCCTCCTTGGGAAGGAGGTCTGAAGTTATTCTGCAAGGACAAATCAAATCATCTTCATTAGCAGCTTTGACCAACCAGGGAAATAAAACCACAATTTTCAGGGGAAAAGCTTTTAAGGACATATGTTTGTCTCGAGGCCCTGGTACACTTATCAGAGAAAGGTTCTTCCCAGTAAGGGCAGGGTGCCCACCGCTCTCAGCTAACAGTTAGGCAAGGAGACCTGGCAAAGGCTAAGAAAGCAGGCAGGACCACATTTCTAGGCTGCAGTGATTCAGTGAAAGTCCGCTCTTCTTTGGCTCCCACGTAATAAATAATTTGCAGGCTGCCAAATTTTGCTTCATATTTTACTCCCCAACATTTCTGGATCTTGAACCTTCCACAGAGTCCCTTGTGCTGTCAGAAAAGAGCTCTTCATTAAAAAACAGCCTTGATAACGTATGGCATGTGGTATATATCCAGCCATTAACATTTTTCAGACACAAACCTTGATTATTACAATGGGCACATCTCACTGTAAAGCTAATGAAGGGGGGGTGGGATGCAGATGCCCCCAGGAGGCGAGCTGGCACTGAGCTGGATTTAGACCACCCCATAAGGGTCAGCTCACAGATGATGTGGGAAGGGATTGCAACAGCATTTTCTTAACAACTGAAACCTGTAAAATAGAGCTGATGTGTGGAACACTGGTGCTTTGCAGAGAGGCTGGATTTATCCCACAAGGACGTGCAAATGAAGCAACAGATGTAGTAGACGTGTGACAGTGGCTGGCATTCCTCTCTGGGATCTGGCCACATCAAATATCAGAGGAGCACAAAATGCCCCTTTATATAAAAAAAATGTATCGAAGGGAGTATGCAAGGCAATCCACCATCTACGGATACATACTGCAGTGCCCAGCTGCAGCATTCTCTTTTTCTATTGTTTCTTAGGCTGAGGGAGGAAAAGAATGGTATCTCTATGCAAGGGTCCCTGCCACTGCTTGCTTCCCCTCCTGTAAATTAATTTTGTCACCTCTATCACACCCCACCAGCTGCAACCAGGGCAGCTTGGGATTTTATTAAGGGTAAGCTGGGGATGGTAATCAGATACACTCAAAGCATAGAGGCAGCAGGCTAGTCAGAAGTACTGCATCTGTTAAGGGAGCGATGGAAATGATCCTACATTAATCTTAAAGACTTCCAGGATCAGTTTCAAAACAGAGAGGTGGAACGTCTGTTGAGGACCCTTGTTCAAGTCTCTGGCACATTTCACACCAATCCTACCTGCAACCTAGAAAAAAAAAAAAAGAGTCAGTAAGAGCTCTGAACACCACTTGATCTAGTAAGAAACAACATGGATTTGGTGAAGTAGAAAGAGGATGCAGAGAGCAGCCGATGCCAAGAAAAGAACGCATATGGTGGGATTGGAGAAGGGTGGAGCCTGATGAAGGTCAGGGTAGGTGGGAAGACCAGCGAGCAAAAGGTCTTCAAGAAAGAGGATGGTGGTTTGGCAAGATGTCACGATGAGAAGCGCCCAGCTTGTGATGAACAGATGGAGACAAAAGACAGGAGTGAAGGCAGGGAAGAAATGAAGATGGCAGATTACCAAACTGTTTATCTAAGAGGACTTAAAAGGAATCATTCTGAAAGGCGACGGAAAAAATGACACCGTTTCATTGCTTACTGTCATTTTAATTCAGCACCAGTCTAAGCCTTGCCATAAGGTACAGCTGAGTTAATATTTGGGATAATATAACCTTACTAACCTCAGGTTACACCTCCTTAATGTGCCTTCACCAAGCAGCATTTCCCTGCCACCAAAGGCCAGCAATCCAACGTCAATGGGTAAAGATTTTTACTCAGGGTCAATTCACTCTCAGAGTCACAAGCTGTAAGACCTCAGAACTACAGCGTGGACTCCAGGTGAATCATCTGAAGTCTCTGACCATCCATATGCAAAAGTGTGTAGTCATTCTCAGCTTTTTTTGTAAAAGGCCTTGAAGTCTTTGGGTTAAAACCTTAAATAAAAATGCTAGGTGGTGTCATTCTCACCTGTCAAATATAAGCACGCGCAGCACATGGCATAGAGTGTGGAAAACTGCGATGATTTGCTACAGTCATTCCAAAACTGATCACATCTGTTACTAAGCTTAATAGTAGGAAAGGACACTGCTTTGACTTAATGCTACAGTGTCAAGCTGAAGCTGTGAGTGATTAGAGCATGTGTTTCACCTGAGCTGCCAGTTCTCGGACCTCAAACCAGGATCATATTTTGTACTGCCTACAAAAAGAAAAGGTTTAGTGTTCTTACAACAAAGATTTTGGTCTGGTCCTCTAGCTGGTGCAGATGGGAAAATTTACAGCTAACAGCAAGTCACACAAAACTCTAAAGAACACCTGCAGAGGTATTCTTTAGGGAAAAGGTGCTTACCAGTACGCTTCAGGAGACTAGCAATCTCAGCACGTGTGCACAATGTCAAGTAAAACCGAAACCCACCAGTTACTATGATTTTATTTCTATTCTATATAATTTCTCTATATATATGTATACATATTCTGTATATATACAGAGATACGTATATATTTCTTCTGTTTAGACCAAGCCTATAGGGAATGAGTAGCTCCAATGAAGTCAGCTGATGACAAGATAAAAACAAAACAAAACAAAACAAAAACAAACAACAAAAACCCAACAGTGTAAAGGAGAGAAGAATCAGGTTCAGAGTCTTTCAAGCACTGATTATTTGGCAGCTAGTCAGTGCTGGAAAAGGTCACTGAACTAAGCAATTTCTAAGACCATACTGTAAACAATTTTACTGTGTTAAAAGAGGGACAAAAACATGGGCCTCTGCTAGATTTTATACAACTACCCATTTAAGACAAGAAACACCAGATGTATGTATGCATCCTGAAGAGAGATATCAATGCACAATAAATGAAAAGCAAAAATGTAGTTTTCCATTCCTCTGTCCAAACTGATGCACTTGTTGGCAGCTGGGCTTTCCTTTCTTTTCTGGAAAACTGAAGTGTCTGTGCAAAAAGTGACTCGTAAATTAAGACTGCTTGGCACTTTCCAATACATAGCTGTTTTTCAGCTGGTTATAATTTTACTTACCAAGCATTAAACACTTGGGTTGACGTTTTCCATGCTGGAGGTCTGCTTCAGGATAGGTTATTATGTTCTAAAATAGTACATCTAGAAATGGTTAGGCATTTCTGAAAACAAGGCTCAGGGGATGTATATAATTTGCCCATTTAAAACAAAGTGTCCAATTACTTTGTTTAAAAAATTTTGTGACACAATACTTTGGAGCAGGGCCTTGAAATTTGGAATTTGGTAGGGTTCTCACACCAGTGCATGCCTTTTGCCTGTGTGTCTGCAGAGCGATGTGTTAGTGTTCCAGCTCAGTTCCTCATCCACACTGGGCACCAGCCCCATGCAGAAGAGATGAGCAGAGCCTTCGCCATACCCGTCTCTCCTGAGCACCTGTGCCACCAAAGCAAGAACTGAGAACAGTCAGATCACTTCACTTGTGTCCGTGCTCTTCACGCCTCTCTGGCAGCACAGAAGGGGCAGGGATGAAAACCTGATTTCAGAGGTAGTGCCAGTGCAAGCAAGCCTTGGCTGCTCTTTGCATCACCTCCAGCAGTCTGCCCACATGGCTGCATGTGCTGTTTGCGTGACAGCCCAGTGAATCGGACCAGCAAATGCCTTTCTCTCTCCCTGCGCCAGTTCACCGCACGACCACGCCACCAGCACTGCTGTCACAGTGCAGGGGTGAGGAGGAGCCTGCAGCAAAGAGCTGAGCCCGGCACCAGAGAACCGCAGCCTCTGATGCCATGCGGGGAGGAACGAGGTCACCTGCTGAAAACTCAGCGGGGATGCAAGGAGCAGGGCGGGAAGGAGACAGAGGAATGAATGGCAGTGTGGGGAGATGACAAGAGGCAAAAGCACAGACTGCAGGAGGAGGAACAAAGCACAACGGGGCTGCAGAGAACAGGGAGAGAAGGGGTAGAAAAGGAGGAGACAGGTAAAGGAGCCAGTGACGAGTACCACCTTCCCCAAGGCACCTGGACCCGATATCTAAGCATCAACACTGCCAGCAACTGCAAAACCTCTGGCAGAGCATCCTTCTTTGCCTTTGCCTTCCCCTCCCTCCCTGTGGCAGACTTTCACCAGCTGCTCCTTCAGCCTTTTGACATAAAAATACCAAAGCTGCTGGAGTGAGTTTTATGGGGGAAATAGCTTTCGTGTTTATTTTTGGTTTCATACAAACACTGGAATTTTTTGTCCTAAATCTGCACTGAACTGAGTGTTAAAAGCGGTTGTTTTTCTGTGCCTCAGGTTTGTTTTGACAGGTAGCCAAAGTTTCCAGAAGCCCTGAGCTTACCTGCAGCTTGATAGAGCAAATGAAGCGGGGTGAAAAAGACAGTAAGCTACCTCCAACTGCTCCTTCCTTTCCCAGAAATGTGGCGCTTGAATCATGGGGCATTTCTCTCCTTGACAGGGAACATGCATGGAGCAGGAATCTTCCCAACTCAGGAGGCTGGAAGCAACAGAGTCAGTTAAGCAGTCTGGGTAGGAAATACAGAATAATTTTCATCTTCCCATCTCTTCCTCCAAAGTCCTATATGGGCAGAAAATTCACCAACTCCAGGCATCAAGGGGGGGGACGACACACCAAATAAAACCAAAACAAAACCCCAGTGCCCCCCAACCTAACCTGAACCAGCATACAAACTGAAAAAAAGTTCCCTATCCCATGCTGAGACCTTACATCAAAAGAAAACCTCTAAAGCCTAGATCTGACATCTGCTCAGCCTTCTTTGATGAAAAGCTTCCTCCAGCTGCTGGTTAAGTAGCGGTCAGCCTTGGAGCTTAAGTAGTAATGGTTACTGCACCATAATGGGGTTCCCAGTTCAAATCCCAGTCATGAAGAATCCAGCAATTACAAATGTTTAATCTGAGTTTCTTTTACTTTTGCCACTTAAATGCACATTAGAAAGTTCATATCCAAATCACCTTTAGAAACAAAATTATTAAAAAGTAAAACAGTCCAGGGTTAGGAATGGTGGAACGGAGGTTTTAAGTACAAGTTCAATGCATATCTACAAAAGGGTGATGATGCATCACCCTTACTCTTATCCCATCCTTACTCTTGTGATCACATACCACTTTCAGCCCCAGGCCACACGTATGCAGGGACAGGATAACCATGTGCTACCCAATCCATCAGAAATCTGGCATTTTTTAAGTGTTCTATTTCTGTGACCTAAATCGTATCTTTCTAATGTACTTTCAGCTACAATAAGAAATCACGCTGAGAAACTTCATCCCAAGAATGGAGGCTTATTGAGTACATCACTAAGCTAATCCCTCCTCAGCAGGGAGACATGGAATAGACAGTCCATCGATCCCTTCTGAGCTTCAATGACTAATCCATCGTGCTGGTACAGTGATACTAGAAGTGACCCTCTAATATTGCCAAAAGCAGGCATTTCCCCAAATCCTTAAACTGTGCTAATTCTGTAGAGAAGGTGCAGCAATCACTACAGATTCATGCAGTTGTGGCTTTTTTTTTTTTTTTGCATACATTTCGCCACATACATCTGTGAGTGCTGACTGAGCTAAGGTAGGTTTTTCTTTCCCCCTAATCCCTAAAGCAGAAAGATTGCCTTAAGGAAGCCTAAGCAACTTGCTCTAGTTAAGGGAATGGGCAGCTGCACTGTGTGGACTAAAGCATACCTGCACATGGATTTCAAGACCAGACCAAACCTAATAAAAATGGGTAGGACGGGGAGAAAGATCTGCTGGCCAAATACCAGCAGCAACATAGCCACAGAGGCTGTTTCTGCACCCTGTCTGGGGGATGCACCTGAGCTGCCACCACCTCCCTCAGAGCATCCCACCTTCTTGACGGTGCGTGTGAGCAAAGATCTACCCCTGAAAAGTAACAAACGTCCTCTTCTTCCTTCTGTACTCACCACGTAGCTGTGCTCAGAATAATAGTCTTCAAACTCTTCCAAGGACAGGGGATTGTTTTACTCAGTCAGTCTGCAAGGACAGGTGAAAGTCACCAGGCAGTTTTTTGGCTAAGCACCCTTGTATGAGCCAGCCATTCTGCTTTGTGTTCCCCTAGTAGGAAAGCGGTCTCCCCATTTCACCAACTGCATCTATTGCAACATCTGCCATTAGTCTGCAAACAACTATGGCATGCAGTCTGTTGTAATTCAGTAAACTTACTGTTTCAAACACTCGTAAATGTTTACAACAGTCAAATCAAATGCTTCCAAAAGGACAAAGCAAAATTCCACATCCCTGAGTCCTAGAGAGAAACAGCACTGGATCCTGACGTCAGGTAAGCACACATCTCTCTCATGGGCAGAGTCAAAATGTAAGTTTCTGGACACCCTTCTCCCTCCTACCTGCCCCTGTCAGACAATTAGGAATTGTAAATTAATGCCATAGCTTTTTGTTCCTTCTCCTCTTTTTACTTCTATAAGAAATGCAAGTTTCTGATAGTGTTAAATGCTTCAGATAATGAGAACAAAAACAGAGCCTACTTTGAAGGACAAATACTTTCCAGCTGCCTTCACCCAAACACAAAGAGGCCAGAAACTTAGCTGTGGTTCTGTACTTCCCATTATCAGTGTCCTACAGTGAGGACATTCAATAAGGTTTCTCAAAAGAAACAGAAGCGCTCACATTCAGTCTCTTCCTCTGTTTATCAGGGGACCTTAGATCCTCCACAATGCCCAAGTGATTTCCACTTTCCCTGAACCCACACAAGTCATAAAGAAAAGGTGCAAGCTTACCTCTAGAATTTCTCCCACCCCTGCTGCTTCTGAATGAATTTGTCTGGTTTAGTCAAGACTTGAATCCCACCTCACACACAAATATTTTCCTTCCTCTTTTATCTGGGTTTCTCAAGTGCCAGGGTTTATTTTTGCAGTAACAAGTCAAACAGGAACACAGCCGCCCCTTCCAATTGAGCAGCAGAGCAGCCTGTACCAAACTAGGAATTTCAGGTCCTTGAGAGAGAAATGCCACATTTAAAAGGCACAGACTGCTGTTGCACAGTCACCTCCTTTTTAAAAGGAGGAGCTGCAATGCAAACTAAAGCAGATCACACATACAGTAACATCAGATGGAAAGAGACGTAGCATAGCAATGGAATGGAAGTGTCCTGTGAACAGGGTGAATGAGGTCTTCCTTCACAGCACCTCTACCCAGAGCAGGATGTTCAGTCAAGTATCATTCCCAAACAACCTCTGCCAAGCTTGAGGATGAGAGATGATAATGTCACTAATACCCTGCCAGAAGGGCCCTTGCCTAGCGACAGGCTGGCATTAGACTGCCAGCAGTTTTACTAGTGTCACAGAAATCCATTCAGGTAAGAACAACCCTATTAGTAAACAAACAAAAGGCTGGAAGGCAAATGTGAGATTTCTCCCTTTGCAATTTCCTACACGTACCAGAAAGCCTTACACCAGAGAAAGGTGGTGAAGGAAGTAACTATGAGACCAGGAACAGCTCCACGCTGCCAAAATTAGGCTCATCAGAAGCTGTTGAATGTCTTTGCCATGTAGTAGTTGATGAGACAGGCAGGAGCTCATTTTCTTTGGCCATATGTCAGATTTCCTGAAAGAAGAAAAAGGCTTACACAGTGACATCATCAATCAGGTCATACCCCTCCTCACCACTCAAAGTGATCTTTTGAAGTTATTGGGCAATTTTAACTCCAGCTTATGAAGAGAGGGGTCTCAAAATTGCTTAGGTCTTTCAAGTCCTGCAAAAACAACGCCCGGATTGGAGAGCGATCCTAATCAGTGCCCAAAGCAAACTACAAAGTCTGAAGCATTTTGTCCCTGTCAGGCATCAGGGAGTCTGCAAAGCCCTCAAGATTCACAGGAAACCAAGCTTCACTGGATTTTTTGTTTATTTATTATTTTTTGTTAAAGAAGTGAAGGCAGACCCAAGAAGGAAATACAACACACTATTTCTGGCTTTTGCAGAGTGGTACTGCAACATCACAGCTTAGGTTTCTCTTCTAAAATAGGGTTGATTAACCAACTAGCCTTTTCCCACGCCAATGCCATAACCTTCCCAGCCACCTCCTCCTTATACCTGGCAATTGTGTCCTGAACTGCAGCTTCACTGGTTTCTTACTTCTTAATCCATTGATGATCTGCGGACTTTATTTCATACGGCTCTGGCAGAAACCTGTAGAGACAAGCTTGCCCTGTAAGAATAAGCCTGTGTCATAGCCAGCCCCAGAGCCCACTGTAATGCTACCTTTTCTAACAGAGCCACAAGTTACATATGCCATTTCAAAAGTTCTTTTTAACATCCACAGAAAGCATAATTAAAATGCTTTTTCAATCCACAAACACACCATCCAATCTCTTCATCTTCCCAAAGCTGTGTTTTGCTGAAATGGTAGTCAACAGCCTTAATGAAGTACTTCCACTTTGGGTACACCTACACGGCAACTACAGAATGAGATCATAGCACACGTAATGTAAACCCTGTTATAGCTAACATTAGGCGAAAGTCATAGCACCGCTGCTAGCACAAGCTGCAGCCTCAGCTTCAGCCTAAGAGCACAAATTGTGAGGTCTCCATAAACACACAGTGGAGTCTGTTGTGCACTGCAATTTCCTTGCTACCTTCTTTGCCTAAGACCGCATAGGCACACAGTCACATGGCAGGCACAAATTCACTGTAGTGGCACATTTTGCTGTGCCAGCCATGCCTTGTTCGGGAATCCAAGGCTACTGCACTACTACAAAATAACATTTAATGCCAAACAGCAATGTCTTCTTTGTTGCTAGCTGTACTGTAACCAACCAGCTTGTTCCCTACAGATAAAGTTATCTGTATTCACACACAAAGCGTCTCAAAGAGGAGCAGTCAAAATTTATGAGGCTAAACTCTCCCACAGAGCCACCAAGGTGATATGGAAGGGAACAGCATGTAGGCTAAAAGAGCAATCCAAAGTCTACTGTTTTAAAGCTGCAGTGGACTTGCTTAAGTCTCATAGGCTTTTAATGAATTTACCTCAATAGTGTTTTTCAAATCATAGACTTTGGGGAAAGTAATCTTTAATATCTCACAGTCTAATATTTACCAAAATGAAGAGGTCTTAATCTAAGTTAGAATAAGCCCCTCAGGTTCCATTACACCAATATAATGATCCTCTCACCTCAGTTCCTCAGCTACAGCTTATGAAGTTGACCAGCTGCTAGCAGGCAGCTTCTCCCTAACATTTGCACACAAAGAAAAAAGGTCACAGAATTCCAGATACACAAATTCCCAATTCCTAAGCCATTTCAGAAGCTAAAACTTCACGTTTCTTGCAGAAGCTGGAGTTTTGCTTAGCTTGCTGTCTTTTCAAAGATAGGGAAAGACGTTTGACACCCTGAATTCCATTAAGTGAGCAATTTCCTAGTTTTATTTTCTCTTTAACAGGAGTAAATTGAAGGCTTTCAAGTGTCCAAATGGTATGCATGAAGTTTTACTTAGCACCTTCCAAAATCAACAGTACACTCCTTTGTCACCTATTCAGAGTGAGATGCTCATCAACAGCTTGTCACTCTGCTGTAGAAACTCGATGATTTACTCAATGTAGGGAATGGAAGACAGGTTACGTCATTCAGTTGACAGACTCCATGAAAATGACTCAAAAAGAACGCCAAATATCAATTCAGGACAAAACATACTTTATTGTACTGTAATGTCAGAAGTACAAGAAAAGTACTGCAGAGAACCATGCTAATGGGGCTTTTAGGGTCTGTGAAGGACAGAAGTACAAGATAATGGGGTACTACTGTACTCAGTGCAAAAACCGATTCATTTGAGGCACAAGTACACTATTGTTTAAGCAGCTTGATTCAAGCACAGCTCTGGTATGTGATCTACTCTGTTTTCTTTCTATGTGACAATTCTATAATAAAGCTACTTTTACATGAAATAGGCAGTAGATTCAAGTCAGGGGTGTCCAAATTGCCACTTGGCAACTGAAAAAATTAAGAAAAATACTCTGCATAGTCACCCTCCACAATTTAGTTTCAGATATGGAGCTGTGGCTAATGAAGAAAACTTCTTCTGAAAGGTCAGAGCCCAAATCTGTTTGGTTGGGTGGGATTTTTTTCCGCTCTCGTACATCTATGGGTAATGTATTTCACATTGACAACAATTTATCCAATAAGAAAAAAACCCAAACTTGTATCTTTGATAAAGAACCATACATATCTAACATTCAAATAAATTTCAGCCCTTGAGATCTTAACTTATGGCTTAAGACACAATGAAAGTGTTTGGGCACCCTTGAGTTAAGTTAATGAAGAGCTAAAAAAGGCAAGCAAGATCACTGTTTTGAACAGAGCTGACCTCTACAAGAATAAAGCAGGAATCCAAGTCACTAGTTACTACTAGGCTGACATGTACTGCTGCCCAGAAAGATAAAAATGTAACATCACAATGAAAAGGTTCAACAAAGTTGAAAGAAAGGTTTCAACACCAGAAGCAGCATTTGAAAACAAGCTGTTTATCTTTTCAAGAGATGCAGATTGCATAACTCTAGGCATGAACAAATATCCTGGCAATCTTCTCCTTTTACACAGCAGCTGTGTTTAACATAGGAAGTTCTGGCTTTAAAGAAAGCTACTTGAAGAAGAATTAAGATTTGCATTTCCCTGTCTACTTAATGAGATTAGAGAAACGAAAAAAAATTACTACTGAAACAGTAGTTTCTCAGTGGATCCCTATCATTACAAACACAGCTTGATTTGTAAGCAACGCAAGACTAAACAGACAACTATTATTTTATATTATTACTATGCTTATAAGTTACATCAGTTAAAGTTATAAAAAGCCAAGCAGTTTTGCCCTATTTCAAGAATAGTTTCCAATCAACACCAGTTTACATGGTGAATGGGACTTCACAAATAAACAAGGAATGGTGACATCTTTGGGTCAAGAATGACAAGAAATAATGGGCTCTGTGCTACCAATCAACCTCAACAAGAATATGGCACAAGGGCCAGCCCAAGCTGTACCAACACTGAACCTTTAGCACTCGGCACAAATTCGGATCTCTTTACTTTAGCTAGCAAATCAGGTGAAAAGACTGGGTAAAAAAAAAAAACTAACTAAAAACTTAAGCCAAAAATTGGAATATGCTTTTTAAAAAACATCTGTAGTTTTAAAATAACTTTATGCTGACATCAGTTTGTGCAAACTAAAAAAACTCATTGAATTTCTCTCTAACAAAAGACAAATCCCCCAAATATTTTCCTTTTAGCCCATTGTATCTGTAGATACAAACTCAAATCTAACAGATGTAAATGCAAGAGAGAAAAAGTTACAGCATCTGCACAACATTCTTTCTACAAACAGCTGCTGGAGGGAAAGTCAAATATAAAAGGAATAAAGAAAGGAAGGTTCCATCTGAAATACTCTCACAATCTTTCCCAGTCTGTAGTCCATGAATCCGACTCTGATGCTAAGGTGACAGTGTATGTAAGCAGATTTTTTTGTTGATTTTATTATTTTTGAGTTTCAATTGAAGAGAACCTGAGAAGAGACCCAAGCCTCTTCAGGAATTGTCGGATGGAACATGCTCCTCAAATCCTTCGCTCTCTCGGACCAATGCTCTTTCCAGGATAACACGACCTTCCTTGTAGCGCTGGCTGTCTTCAGTGGCAAATTCATAGATCCAACCCAGTTTGCTGTTGCAGTTCTTGCAGCTCACATCTCGAACCATGTGGCGGCCAGTGAGCATGACCCGATCCTGAACTTCACTGTATTGCAGATTTACCACCTGAGACAAATATACAGAGGATAAGGAATAGAAAGGATTAGTCCACCTAGAGCAAAGCTTGGTAATAAGGTGCATGACTATCAACATTTTAAAAGAGCCTGTGGCACTGCATGTGAACTGAAAACTGCAGTGTAGTAAGTCAACAGCTATTGAAAATCTCCTGCTTGAGAAGGTTACACTTCAAAGATGTGCTTCACGGGGATGTACATTCCTCACTGTTTAACTGAGAGACATGAAATACTATCACAAGATCTATGAGAGTGCAGAGTACTGTGTTCAACTTTGGGTGAGAAATTCCTGGTAAATAGCTTGTAAACTAATTGATATTAATACCCTTGTAATGTATGTAACCTACTTCTAGCAACTGATGTGCTCACTTAGTCCCAGAAATCAGAACCAAAATATTAAAAGAGGTACTTCTTTAAAAATCTTGGGGTGCTTTTGAAACAATCATCTAAGAAAAAGAAAGACTTAGTGGCTGACAATGCAGGCATTAAACATTCGCCTTTTTTTTTTATGTGCTATCTTGGCAGTTTAAAATATACTTTTAACTTGTTTAGGCAGCAACACCATAGAACCAGGTATAATTCATTGAAAAGTTGATGTCAGAACTATATCCAAACTGCCAATATGTGGTGGGGTTCTAAAAGATGGTGCTGCACTGCTTTCTCAACTTTCCACCTGACTGTGCTTGCTCTCTCTCCTTCAGCTGTAAGGCTTCTGACTGCAGAAATGTAAAAATCAAACTTCTGTGAATAAATCTCACTATGTAACACAAGAAAAATTTGAACCCCAGGATCCACTGCTTATTGGGCGAGAAAGAAATCAGATGCACAGCTCTTTTGTAGCTATGCAGCCTAACACTTACGTATAAATATTACTGACAGGATTCAGCACATCAGAAATCTCAAGGCCAAGCATAGTTAAGCGAAGACATCACTGATGCCTCTACCAACTCTGACAACGGCCAAATGGCTTTCAAGAAAAAAACCAAACCAAAATACACCAATGATTACATGACTAGGAACACTGTGAGAAAGCAAAGCATGATCACTATTTTTTCAATGAGTCTAATGGACAAGTCTATATGGAAGGGTTAATAAATAATGCTACAATTCACTCAGAGTTTACTTTCATACTTCAATTTGTTGAATTAAATCAAATTTGATAAATTAAAAAAATATTGAACTAAACTAGATTATTGCCTGTAAAAGATTAAAGTCACCTAAAGTTGCCAAACTACTCTTAGCTTAGATGTGTTTTAGAAATTAAACAGAATACTGTCTAGACTTTTTTTTAAACTGAGTAGAAGTGCAAATGCCTTTGAAACTCTTTGATAGACAAAAGATACTCTCACAGTGAATTTGAGGTTCATATTACAGAAGTCCCCAAAGTTAAAAGTCCACGCATTTTGGCATGATGTCTCTACAGACACAATCCTCTTTATAGTCTTTTAGAATTGCACATAAACTAATTTAGATAGCTTGCTATCAATAGTAAATGCCTAATTTGACTTCAAAAACCACCGAATAGAAAAAAATAAGAATTAAAAAATTAAAATAGTAATCACACAACACTTTAGCCAAGAAGTTTTTTAGTTTTGATGATAGATTCATATCCCACAAACTCATTTTTCAAAAGCAAATAGTAGCTCCCCCTCAGCTTCTTACTAACCTTGTTAAAAAGAAAGGCTCTTCCCGTGGCCCCTGTAAAACGAGTGGAGATGAGCTCAGAACGATTGGTCAGAATCGTGTCGCAGTTTGCACAGGAGAACAGGCGAGTGCCACCAATATGATCCAGAAAAATTCTTCCCATTTTTAGAACTTATGTAAGTTTATACTCAAGGCCTGAAAGCAAAAGGAAAGATCACGTAAAAAAAAAAGCATTACAGCAAAAAAAACCCCAAAACCTCAAACCACCCCATATATATGGCAGAATATTCTGCAAAAAAGTTCAGCTAATGATTACAGAGGTTCTTTCTTTCATAGATGAATTACTGAACTTATAGACTGTGTTCATCCTTTCTCAAGACAAGTTCTTTCCAAAAGTGACCATCTTACCAATAAGATAACACACCTAGATACGAACTAATTACAGTAAATGAGCAAAACATGATCTGAAACCTTCAGAATATAGTTCAGACATTTGCAGACCACTACTGGACCCTATAGTTCTTAAACTCAAAAGCTTCCATTTCTTCCCTATTTTCTTTTCGTCTTTAATACAATACTGAAATTCCATTCCCGACGACTTGCTCATCTTAGTCAGCATTGGGAAATGAAGCACTGAGAAGTACACTGAGTCACCAAGACAATTATAGTTTAATTTTCCCAAGTCACCCCCCCTTTTTTAAAATATATATGTATTTTGTCACTTCCCCTCAGCTTTGCACAATTGATGACATGCACACAACACAACACCACCATCCAGGATGCTTTAGTCTTCCAGTATAGCAGACTGGGCTACTGTATTTGACTTGACACTTACTTATTGGTTTCATATACATATGTATACAATAAACAATCCACCCAGTCTTTACACCAGACAGTTTTATATACAAACATTTAAAGCTGTCTAATCTAAATACAAAATACTGTCTCATTTACCCAAGCTATTTCCAAAGCATCATCACTAAAACACCTGAGCAACTCCAATGAGCAGAAAAAGAGAGCTTAGAAAGTTTATAGCAGCAGATCTGTAGTACCTGATAAATAAACCTCTTCACTGCTTGGGAAAATTAAAGTATCTCACCAACTTTATACCAACTAACATAAAAAGTTAACTAGCAGGTAGGCACAGAACATACCAGACAGCTGAAAACTTAAATCACGAAGGATGAGATAACATGACAAAGGAACTAAATTATGTTATTTCCATTCCAACTGCAGAAGTTTTATGACTAAACATCTATAGTTAAACAAGTTAAATATACCTCCATTTATGCTTCATATGTGGAATCAGAAAAAGAGCGTTGTCTCTGCTTTTGTCATGCACAGCAATGCAAAGTAAAACTGACACACACAGTAATATTAAAGTTGTGTGGGTTTTACTTCTCAGAACAGGAGACAGTGTGCCGTTCATAGAGAAATTAATCAAATTTTGTGCTCATCAAGCTGAATATTCTATGTCAAATGACTTTAAGAAGCGCAAATACCTAAATTAAACCCATTTCCAGTTTTAGGGAATCAGTTTCTTAAAGGTTACTCTGACATGCACAAAGCAAATGGACTAAAACATGCACCTGCACACACAAAATTTAAAATATCATTTTTACATGTAAAAATCATAAGTCACTGACATCCTGATTTTTTTTCCAATTGCTTTATTTCACCATATTGTCTTCTTACAATGTGTGGCAATAAAAAGGGTTCCTAGTATTGAACAGAGTGATTTTAACACAAGTTCCTTACATTCAGATTTTTCACATCACTATTAGTCTTCTGTATCCCATCTGAAGGATACATAAAAATTCAAAGCAATGGAATGACTCTTTTCCTTTAAAGGTGATATAATACCCATTTCTCTTCTTGGAAGGATAAATAAAACAGGTCTTGATTTTGATAAAAATATTTCAGAGACTTAGCTGAATGTCGGGGTATGACTCCTTGTGACTCCAGTCAAAATACAGTAAGCGTTTTCCTTCAGTTTCTCTAAGCATTATACCTTTCTAATATGCCTTTATCTTTCCTAGCAAGCGAGGGCAAAAGAAAAATTAAAATGTGAATAGTGACAGCATGAAGGAAAATCAACAGACAATAAGCATGAATAAACAACTATCAGTCAAAGTCTCCAACCAGAAGAAACCACAAATACAAGCAATAAAGGCAATTGTGACAGATATGCCCATAAGGCACTTGGCCTATCTCCATGTGCCATCCTTACTAATTTTGGATAATGTTATTTTTGTGTTGATTGTATTGTGGATTAAAAACAATTAACCCATCATAAGTTATTGTAAATGTAAATGTAAATATTGGATGGAATCAACATCCAAAAGGGTATTTCTTTCAGGGTAAACACAATGCTCACCCTGTCAGTATTTTTAGAAGCTAACATGAAACAAATCCAAAAACATCCCTCTCTTCTACCAAGAGCAACATGAACACTAAGATTAGTAAGTGACAAGAACAGATCCATTTAACAGACTAACCTTACAAAGGATGTCATTTTGAAAATACGCATCTGAACACTTAAAATGCAAATACATCACCTATCTAGAAACATAATTCATGTTACTGCACCCAGAAAAGCGGTAACCTAGAGTCACTGAAACCAAAATTTAAATACTTCAGAAGAGAGCGCAAGTGTAATTCTTACAAGCAAGTTTGAAGTCAAAGCAACATACAAATGTATTACTTCTGGATATGGCATTATGCATGGACTGAAGTTGTGAGTCCTGAAAATATTAAACATTAAAATAAATACATAAATAAATATGTTCAAAGACATAAGGCTGAAAAACCTGCCTAGTAATATAAGGCCTAAAATCTTCAATTCTTCATATCACCCAAAAAAGCTGAAAGTAACCTCATCAAGTATCTAAATGAGAAAGAAACTTCCAATAAGACTTGGGTCCCAAGAGAAAGACAAAGCAAGATTCATTTGATGGTAGCACAAGGCTGTGAGAATTCAGACTAAAGTTACAGCAGAATCTAATAAACCAACTGGTACCAGAATAATTTTCTTCAGAATACAGTGCGTAAGAAAACATGTATTCTTGAAATAAATAAATACACATTTAAAAGCTTAGAAAATTAAATTCTACAATCTGCATTGTAAAAGTCAAAACAGTCTAGATTTCGAGTATGTTTTTTTAAGAAGCTGCTAAAATAATGTAATCCTACTAGAATGTCCAATGTTTAAAATAATCTCTACACTTAACTGCCCCCTGGCAGATTTCAGGCAAAAGAGATAGCAGCCTACAACTATCATTAGCTCTCAGTTTTGATTCCTACAGGATTTCAATGAATTTGTAAGGGTCCAGCTGAAGTGTTATAAAACTAGTCACCTTACATTAGTCTTTGTATTACTGCTCACAGTAGTAAAAAGTAGGAAAAAAGTTACAAAATGACTGCTAGGAAGGCAGCCTTTAAATGCTGCATTTGACCATGAATTTTCTAAATAAGCTAACAAGGAACTTTCGCTTTTTCCTCTCATATAAGGTAGAGAAGTTAATTTCAACTTGAAATCATTTCACACTCTCCCCTCTCTGTTCTTTTTCCCCAAGCTAAAAACAGAGTATTCACTTCTAAGACCAATTCAGAAGGTACTTGCTGTGGATAAAGACTGTTCTCTCCTTACGTAAGGATCCTGAATCCTGTAGGGTATACTTATTGTACACTGGAAAAAACAGAAGCACAACAGAATATGGAAAAGCAATTTTCCTTTGCTCTCAGGCTCATAACCCTCACATACAGAAGTGGTGTGTACAAAGTCACCCAAAATAACTGCGTAATTTTTTTCCTATAGTTTTCACTTTCCATGTAAAAGGTGTGGGCGTCTATTTATGTTCACACATACATAAATGATCTGAAAAAAGCCACTTATAGGCAGCTTTTATAGGCAGTGGGAGGGCTCTCTGAAATGAAGAGAAGCCAAAGAATTGTGAAGCATAAAAGCATTTCTAAAGCATAAGATCCTCCAATTAGGGGGAGGAAAATGCTAGAAGTGCACTTACCCATTCATCCACTCTCTACACTTAAAAACAGTGAAAATAACTTCCATTGGTTCAGAGAGCCAGTCAGGTTCCCTATTCCTATTCACAACCCCAGAAAGTGACACTACCACATCACACCAATTCCATCATGCTACTAGCAGAATTTTCAGAAGCGGTGGACAGGAATCTTGGTTATTCACAGACCAAATGCTGAGGAAAGAACAGAGATTTTTTTGGCCCATGATTTAATCTTTAAAGTCAGCTACGCATTCTTTGTTGGGTATGTGTCAGTGATGAAGTCCTAGTGACCCTGTCCTCATGCAAATTACCAAACACAAGTTGTAATATTAAATTAATGGCTCCAGTGTAAAAAAGGCAGGCATATTTACTTTCACTAAAGGGATATAAAGTATCTACCACTGGTCAAATCTACACAGTTCAGAGAGACAGGTACTTCTACAAACTGAGATGATGCCACTGTGTCATTAACTGGCACCCTGACCAGCACTATCAACCTGAATTCTTGAGGACCTTTAGCAGAACAATCAGTGATATCTCGTATTACCTAGCTAGTAAGGCTTGCTGTGACAGTCCGTTATTTTGACAGTTCAAACCTTGATACAACTTCTGAGTTGTACTGTGAAAAATTTCCTGCCTGCATGCTTCTCCCAGTGAGTGCACGGACAGACAGGAAACACAAGCACTGTGGCTGTGTGCTATAATATGTATTTCTAGAGCAGTATCCTCCCAAACATCCACCTGTCTTTCAGTGTTGATTTTGGCAACACCAAGCAACAGCTGTCAAAGAGCTGACATTCAACAGCTTAAATGTGACCACTATCTGCACACAGAGCTGAAACCACCCGAAGCACTACTTGGTTGGTATTTGCACTACCTCATCTGCCTACATTCACAAGCAATAAAGAACAAAAAAGTAACACAAAGAATTATTTATTAACATTTTTAAAACTAACAGTCAGTGTTCTCTTGTCCCAGAGTGCATCTCTTGAAGACACAGCACCGTCAACATTTGGAAGAGCCAGCAGGCACTTTCTATATACGCACTGGACTGTGGATATTTCAGGAGCCTCAGTGTTGCTTCAGCACCATCTACTGCATCTCAGATCTACAACAGAAAACAGCTGCTAGTTAAAGGATAAAAAAAGCCCTATGACAGCCTCTCTTTCACCATTTCATTGACTGAAAACACCTTCCTTTGTATGGTGAGCCAAACAAACACCCTCTCCCCCTTGAAAAAGGACTGTACATTCCCCTAAGCACAGTAAAACATTCTCAAGATGTACTTACTCTAGAACCAGACTTAAACTTCATCTTCACATCTCAGGAACCGGGCTTAAGCTTCCTTTTCTCATCTCAGAGATGGACAAAAGAGGAAAAAGAATACTTAGCACAGCTACACAAGACCACACATTAAAGAATCACTGGGTAAGCAAAATAAAAAAAAACCAAAACCAAAAAACTTGCTCCTTACCTTCCCAGGTTTCTGCTGTTCACAAGTAGGCGTGCATCTGAAAATACACATGCGGTCAGTCTCTTAGGAGGTCTGAGATTCACCTGTCTGCCACTGACTTCGGTGACTGTTGAAGTAAGCAGGGCCCAGCCTCTGGCCTCTGCCTACATGCAGAATTCGTTACCAGAAAGCACCACACATAGCCAAATGTGAGGTAAGAAAGTGAACTGGAACAGTATGCTATGCTCATTAGAACCATCCAGCTACTGTAGCAAACTGTACAACGAAGTTAATACAGTCAAACGACTGAAGAGGCTTTGGCAAAGTAATGAAAGCTGTGCCCAGATGCAGTGCACAGCACCCGCCTAGAACAGGCTGCCGTGCAGGATGAAACTGCATTTGTGCAAGTTACAGTAGTATAATTTTCTATTGCAAACTGGCTTTTTTTCTAGGTAAGGCAAAAGTTTCGCATTGTAATACTGGCATTTAAATATGTCAACATAACGTTATATTGGTGCATGCAAACACTAATACAGCATAGTTTGTTTCAAGTTTACAGAGAGCAGAGCCATACAGTTGGGTGCTTGTTTCTAATACAGCCCCCATATCTCAGCATCCCACATACAGTAACTTACACCCTCACAATACTCTTGCTAGATAACATATAAAAGTCTTAGTTTACAAATGGTATCAGACTCAGATTAATTTTCTTTGCCACTACAAGAGTTCAAAAGCAGCAACTATTCCTGTCTCGTTTCTTTTCCCCTTTCTTTTTCCCCTTTCCCTTCCCTAAGAGAGGAAAAGGATCACCTTTTCCTCTCATAATTCCCCAACTGTTTTTAAGAAAGCTGTATTTCCTGCTTTTGTAATACCTTTATTCTTATACTAATTAAGCAGATAAGACAACTTTTGCCTATTAATCCATTCTGCAGCATTCAGAAGGCTAAATTTAGATTTTGTTTTCATTCATTTTAGTGCTGAAGTGATACAAATCTTCACCCGTAGACACGTTTCACGAGTCATAAAAAAAAATCAAATAAACAAGCTTTAAAGAAATGGTGAAAAGACAATGATCACCTAAACTTCCATACAAACTACATCCAACTGGCAGAAAGGGTGCGAATATGCTTAGTGCATCTCACCAAGAAAATTTTATATTAACTAGGAAACTCCTAAACATAGGTAAAGGCTCCAAAATTAAAGAGAGAGCCTTGCTACCAAACATTAACAGTGTTTAGGCATTTCCTCTACACATTTAACAAGATATTTTTAAGTTAAAACTTGCTTAAGCAAATTACGTATTTCAGCAAGAGCTGAGCAACTCAAGATTTCAACATAGGTCAAATGATAGTAAACAAACATGAACCAGTGACCTAACTTGGACAACAAGACTTCAAGCTTGTGATGACTACCAGCAGAGGGAATGCTAAATATATATACATATATATATTTGTGTGCATGTGTACAACTCTCAGTCTGTCACATGATAAGTAACAAATCTCATCTGTTCTTGTCTTCTCTACAGGGCTCTGAGGTGCAATTTCTTTTGTCCTCACGCACTTAGCAGCTACAGCTGAAACTCACTCATTATTATTAAAAGCTATATATAAACAATTAGATCTGCATTCTGTAAGTTAAGTACTTCCACAACTACGGAAGTGAAAGTAACAGATGACAGAAGCCTCCAAATAATATTTCTAAAGACTAACATTAGAAAAAGAAAGTAACACTTAAAAATGGACAGTTTCGTTTGTCACAAACATTACCTGAATTCAGCTATCCAGAATGAGTCTATACATAAAAGGATTATATATAACTGTTATATAGTTATATATATGGCTATATAGCTGAACCAGCTGGGAATCTTTACGACAGAGCAAGTTCTCTCACCTTCTGCCATCAGTCACAAACATTAGTTAGGCTAATGGTTAATCTACTGCCATTAGTTGTTGACATCAAGAGCCACTCTGCGACACCTACCACTCTGAGCCATGCCCTGTTTCTCTCTCACGAGACTGGTGTACTTGCTTTGTTACTCCTTCAATCTAACCCTAACACCGTGTTTACTGTTTAAAGAAAATAAAGAACAATAATTTATTAAATTCTATCACTGTATTAGTCCAAAACACAGCCTTTATTCGTAAATAAGCACGCTGGATTAATCTAATCTGTATCTGTTTGCACAGTACAGCTGAGGTCTGTACACAGAGTAACAAACGAACAGACAGATGACAGTCTTTGCATTCCTTTTTGCTTTGACTAGAGCCTTTTCCAGCGCAAAAAAAAAAAAAAAAGCGCTTGCCAAATATTTCAGTTCCCTGAGAATCCATACTTTCACAGGCAAAATCCAACCTAAGAGCTGACAGGCGTAGCTGGCTCATTGCTGGAACAGCAAGTTACAACTACCACTCCATTTCTGACAACCGGCCTCCCCTGAGAGTCACCTGTGGGGCAGGGACACGGGCTCTACTCAGGGCTGCTTCGGCGATGAGTAAGTCTCCAAGGCGCGGTGAACAAGCAGCACCTTCTAACCGGGAAGGGAGAGGAGAGATGCGTCAAGCGGCACCGCTGCTGCCCTAACCGGGCACAGCGCGAACGACAGGGCGGGCGGCCAGAAGCGGCGGCGTGGGGGGGGGGGGCGGGGGGACTGACCCACGCTCTGCGAGGGGCGGGGACGGGGCGGGGCTTT